AGGAGTGGGAGCAGGAGTGCAGATAGCTGCAGGAGTATTAATAGCTGCAGGAGTATTAATAGCTGCAGGAGTGCAGATAGCTGTAGGAGTATTAAAAGCTACAGGAGTGCAGATAGCTGTAGGAGTGGGAGCAGGAGTACTAATGGGAACAGGGGTATTAATAGCTGCAGGAGTACTAATGGGAAAAGGAGTATTGATAGCTGCAGTAGTGGGAGCAGGAGCACAAATAGCAGTAGTAGTGGAAGCAGTACAAATAGGAGCAGGAGTACTAATAGGAGCAGAAGATGGAGATGTAGCTGTGTGTTGAGAGAAGACCTCACACTGACAAGTCGGCCCTCTGCAGGATAGGTGAAGCTCTGCGGTGTGAGGAGGGGTGCTCACTGACCGTCTCCCCCTGTGTCACTGCAGATACATCATGGGTTTTGTGAGCAAAGGAAGTGAGAAGGTGCTGCTGAAGAAGAAGCAGGACGGTACCTTCCTGCTGCGCTTCAGTGAGAGCTCCAGGGACGGCGCCATCACCTTCTCCTGGGTGGAGTACTCTGTTGAAGGTGAGCCCTCAGGGCATGAGGGGGGGAGCTGCAGAGGGGGGGTGGGCACCAGAAGGAGGGGGAGCACAGGGCAGTCCCATGGATCTCCCCGCACAAGCAGTTGGCAATGAAGGCCTAGGAGAGTGGTCATCACCCAGCTCTTGCCTTTGATGTAACTCCCGCCCCCTTAGCCATTCAGCCTGCCTTCCCAGCATGCATTGCAGTGTATACTTCAATCACCACATCTTCCCCTTCTCCATCGCTAATGCAACCTCTTGTGTTATTCATATTTGGGGACAGGGAGGTTCTTTGCTGTGCTGAACTGTAATCTTACCCATTTTCAAGTCCTTATCGTTTGTCATATTAGGATCCTCTGCAGAGTCCCAGGGAGCTGTCAGCCTCATCACACCCATTGACCAAATTCAGTCCCCAGCAGCATCATTATTCATTAGAATAGATATAGTTGACAGGAGCTGTTTGGCCCATCTTGTCCATAAGATAGTTCATAGCTAATTGATCCTATAATCTCACCCAATCCCGGAACCAGTCAGACTAAAGAGACTTCAGACTAGAGACTCAGTTCCTTCAGCCTGTCAGTGCAGGACACTCCCTTCAGACTAAAGAGACTTAGTTCCCTCAGCTTGTCAGTGCAGGAATCTTCCTTCAGACTACAGATTATCTGTTCCTTCAGCCTGTCAGTGTGGGACATTCTCTTGACTCCTAGAATGCATCTGCTTTCTTGTCTCTAGACATGCATTACTAAAGGTAGCTCAAAATGCAGGCAGTGATCTGGGAGCGCAGTGTGTGTACGACTGGGTTACACACTGTGGTAGTTCCCTGAGGGGGGCTTGCTGGAAAGAAGGCTTTCCTGTCCTAGGACAATTGGAACTCTTGGCCCGGTTCCTTGTGGGAAGTGCTGATGAGTTCTAGCCAGAACAATAAATGATTCCAATTCTCCAGCCCAGAAGCTCTTGCTTTCCATCTTTACCCCCTCTCATCAGATTGCATTTAACATTTTCATCCATCCATTTTCTAACCTTTCATGGTGCCAAAAGGGCCAAAGAGGTGAGCTGAGCCGTCACCTCCTGGGACCCCCATTCACCAGGGTTGTATTATCCAACAGGCACAGAGGAGGCACCTACAAGACCTAAAGAGCCTGTGAAAACATTTGACTCTTATATGCATGTTAACTGTACCAATGTACCAAAGATCTCTTCTTGAATGTGTGTATATATAGCGTCCAAAAAATACATCAGCCCAGCTGTTTTCTAACCAGTTCATCCAATTCAGGGTTGTAGGGGACAGATGCAAGACAGGGTACACCCTGGATGGGACGCTAGTCCCTATCAGTCCACACACACACACACCCTTACAATCGCCCTACCAGCATGTCTTTGGACTGTGGGAGGAAACCCACACAACTTGGGGAGAACATGCAGACTCCACACAGGTAGCACCTCATGTCCAGAATTGAACCCAGGGCCCCAGCGCTCTGAGGCAGCAGTGCTACTAACCACTGCGCCATCGTGCTGCCCATCATATTCTTGTTAATATTTTCTGAATAAAATGTGACACCCCAATACCCAAACACGTGTTGTTGTCCCCCCAAATGTTACAGTAATATTGGGAACCACCTCACATGAGGTGTCTCTGAGAACATCCTTATGGATTCCACTGGGATCTGAAGTATCTGCAGGTACTTCTGAGGGTGATGGTGTGTGGGGACTGAACTGGACAGGTCCACTGGTTCCAGTGGTTTCCAGTAGGAGTGAGGTCTGTGGATCGTTCTGGCCAGGGAAGGTGATGGGAGTCTGTCTCCTGCTCCTCCAGCCCAACCCCCCATACTGCCCCCTACTGGGGTCTGTTCATTAGACTTGGGGTTCCTAAGAATTTTGCAGACATTGCAACACACATCTGTTATCTGTAATCGCCTTGTGTCTGTGTCTCTCAGGGAAGCCCAGTGTGCGCTCTGTACAGCCCTTCACCAGGGAAGACCTCAAACAGATCCCCTTGCCTGAGATCATCCGGAATTTCCAGATCCTGGTGGCAGAAAACGTACCTGAAAACCCTTTGAAGTACCTGTATCCCAACATTCCCAAGGACGAGGCATTTGGGAAATACTACTCGCACAGTAACACAGGTAAGGGATTGGGCCTTGGGGGGGGTGGCGGGGAGGGGTGGTGAGACGCAGTGCAACTGTATGTACAGTGGGACTCTGAACTCACAAGTGGAAGATTGGGGAGAGGTTAACGTGCCCCCTATAGAAACTGCGGTACCTCCTGGGTACACATTCCCCCCCCTTCCCAGTCACGTCAAGCTGCAGTGGCAGGGAGCATGGTGGCGGGTAGCCCCGTGACAGACTGGTGTCCCGCTTAACATTACAGAAGCGGGGATAAGCTCAGGTCTGGACTTCTGGGTTAGTTTCGCGAGGATACATACAGTAGGAAAAGTGTCCATCCATTGGCTCTGTGTTGAATCAGCTGGCGTTTGTGCGTCATACTGGGAGCAGAGTCAGGGCTCTTTCTGGGAGAGGTCCCTGCGATCAAGCTCCCCCAGACAGGATGCAGCATTTTTATCCTCTTATCGAGAAAGCAGGCGCACTGGAAAGGGACGCTTTTAAAATCAGTGGAATGCAGATCTTGACACTTGACAAAATATGACCCTCTCTCCCCCATGCTCCAGTTAGAGAGGACAGCATGAGCTGAGATTGAGGTGGCAATGAAGAACGCAATGTGAAAGCCTCCGAGACTTAAACAAATCTATACAATATATGCAACTGGGATTTCCAGTGCTGTGTTTTTCAATAAGTGACTTCTTAATATGTTAAAGTGATTGTGAAATATTTCTTGCCCTCCTACATACGTATTTTAAAAAAATGCATATATTGGCAAAACCTGATAATTTGTGTAGTTCTGAAGGTTTGCAGTGCTTTGGAAACTCTTTAGACATGGGGTATGTGATTGTGTGTGTGTATACTGGTGTTTGGAGTGGGTAAAAGCATTTGTCCACATTTTTGTTCCAGATGAGAAAAGTTATAAAGACTACCTCAAACACAAGCTGGTCTTCGTCTCTTCAGAGTAAGTGATGTTTTTAGTTCTGTATAGTTTGTGCAAATGTGTTTAAGGCTTCTCTCTGGCCCAAATGTTAGAAACCCTTTCTGACCTGCATATTAGCTCTCTGTGAAATTGGATTCCACACAGATTCCTCCGGGATCTGATCTATCTGCAGCCCAATCCCATCCCATTCCTGCAGCAGGATGGCCTTCAGCTGGGGGTGTGAGGAGGGTGGTGGTGTGTGGGGACTGAACCGGACAGGTGCACTGGTTCCACTGGTTTCCACCAGGAGTGAGATCAGGGGATTTTTCTGGCCAGGGAAGGTGATGGAAGTCTTAGTGCCGAGTCATCAGTTGCCTAGGTGTAGTCAGAGGCTTGGTGTTCCTCTGCAGTGAAACATCTTCAAAATGAACGGCTACTGCTGGTGAAGATGGCACTTTCACAGTGCGATGAAGGAGCTCAACTTAATGTCCCTGGGTTTGAAAGATGAGGCTGTAGGCCTGATGGGTAAAACTGCTCTTTTATTATTGGTCGCTTCAGGAACACAGTAGAAGCTCAGCCTTCTGTGGACACAACAGACACTCCACAAGACCCTGCTGTGTATCCGGAAGGCGTGGCGCCTATGAGCGCAATGAGCCCTCTTTGTGACGTAAAGAATGGCGACGCGGACGGTGAGTTGCAGTTCTGCTCTCCCTCCTGGGCTTAGCCTGAGTCTGTCTACTCCTCTCTGGGTGATTCTCCAGATCAAGTCCAGGTGCTAATTACCAGATATTGAACCCAGGACCCCAGGGTTGTGGTTGTGTAACTGCTGGCCTCGACAGTGCAGCCAGACATGGCTCCAAGCAGGCTGCAGTGGGGTTTTTGCCAGGGGTGGGGAGTTAGGAAGCGAGTGTCCTGTCTCGAGTGAAGGGGACATGTTGCTGAAGCCCCCCTCCTCCTCGCTCTGTCTCTCCTGCAGCTGCTGGCTTGACCCCCTCTGACGTTCTGATGTTTGACCAAACGCTCAGCCTCCCGGACCACCCGGTGCAGGTGGAAGGTACCGGGGCGCCCAGCCCGCAGGTGGATCCGGGCATCGGGGTGCCCGACTGCACCTTCCTGATGGCCGACCCCTTCATGGCCGGGGACGGCAGCCTGGACGAGACAAGCTGCCTCCTCGCCTCCGACCACGTGTCCAGCCTCTCAAACTTCTTGTTCGCTCACGAGCAGGCGGCCTTGATGCACCCGTGAGGGCACGCCCCCCCCCTCCCCCCTCCCCGGCCTCGCCCCCGGCTGGGCAGGACGCTCCCCGAGACCCACACAGCCTGCCGCTGCGGAGCAGTCCCATCCAGTTCCGGCGTGGCCAGCTGCAGGGCTCTGGGAGGAGCCGGCGGTTTACGGGCAGCCGGCCCCCAAACCCGGCAGAAACTGCGCAGCGTCTCGGTGTCGGCTGGGGTCCAAGGGCCGTGCAGCTGGAACCGGGCCTGGATTGGGTCTGGAACTGCCAGGCGGAGAAATCCTTGTCCGTTTCCCCGGCTCGTGATTCCATTAAAGCAAATCCACTAATATTGCATATCACACCTCAGGATTTACCAGTGTGAGATAGTGGTTGGCCTTAATTTACTCCAGCTTCAGAAACAGCACCGCATCTCTCCATATCTTGCCATTTCCTACTAACCAGCAGTCTTGTGAGTTTACTGTGCCAATCTCCAGTAGCCTCTTGCGCATAACTTTTTTTTTTAGTTTGTTGCAGTTATTTTCTTATAGGTTTCCCGATGCACCAAGAGATTCAATTGTTATAACAGATGCTGAGTGACCCGATTTCATAAGGGCCCTGCAAAGGCAGTTGAAACCACTGACACAGAGGACGTGTGAAGTTGCTGAACAATGCTCCCTGCTGGCCAGCCTGCGTATTGCACCTGTCTGGTTTTAATCCGTTTGTCTAGTGACGAAGTGGGTCTGTTTTCTACAATGATGGTATTTCTCAGGTGTCAAAAGACTTTTTTTTTTTAGCATTCATCTCTTTATCACCAGGTTTTTTTTTTTACATTGTGCACTAAAATTGAGATATTCCCTCATGCCCACACCTCTCTAGTGGGGGCTGGCTGAATAGCTGTGTGTACTGGAATGGTTTTCAAGTTTAGTCAGTTTTACATATACTCTCTTATCTATATGCTTGTTTCATGATATTTTAAATTAGATCCTTGGGGTATGAAGTGTGATATGCATTAAGATTATATACAATGATGATGCGTTATATACAGTGCCCTCTAAAGGTATTGGGACAGTGAAGTCCAAAGTGTGATTTTTGCTTTTCAGTCGATCAGTTTCAGTTTCCGTTCCCAAGACTTGTATGATTGGCGATAAGATTGGCCTCCTCTGGAAGGTTGCGTAATGAGGTTCTGGTTCGGTTCTTGCAAAGCCTTCTGGGACTTGTTTTCCTCATAGGATCCGATTGAGTTAACGATCAGGACTTGCGTTACTGTACAGCTATGGCCAGCTGTAATTCTTCAAATCCACAAACTCCATAATATTTTCCAAAGCTGCGGAATTGGATGAATTTAAGATGCATAAAGCTCATGTCTAGGCAGGAAACAGGAAGGCACTATAACCCTTGATGACAGGACAGGCTGACATCCTCTGGGACATTAGGGCGCAGATGTCCACAGCAAACCCATAAGTGAGGACAGGGGGGTTCCTGTTTTTACTGTAGAGCTGAGGAAAACAGTTCTTTTAGTTTCACTTAACTAAACCCGTTATCTAAACCTGAACACCAACCACCGAATTCTAGAAGCACAAAAGCCTGGAGTTCTCCCGAGCCTTAGTCGAAGACCACGAATGTCAGTAAGTGGGTGGTCTTCTTGCTTAAACAGCAACCCCAGCAAACTCCCAGAATGAGAAACACTTTTCACTACACTATGTTAACCTGGTCCAGTGAGTATTCTGAATCTCCTCTGTAATGGTAGCGATGTATTGAGAGACAGATGTTTAAAAATAAATAAAAAATTATCAGTGGTATTAGATGTTTTAATGGAACAAGTAATAGGTTGATTCCAGGCTGAAAAGAGAAGAAATAAAACGCAACGTTTCGGCCGTGCAGCCTTCTTCTCTTCCAGCCTGGAATAAACCTATTACTTGTTCCTCTGCAGCCTGTTGCAGCTACCCACCTGAACTACTAGATATTTTAATGTTCATTCTTAAGGAGACTGCTCTTAAGCACTTTAAAATGATACTGAAAAGTTTTTTTTTTAATAAAAATTACTAATAAGAGTTTTGATAAAGAAAAATGTTTTTTTTAAATATGCCACATCTTCCCACTTTATTTTTTCAATCGTCACACTAAAACCCTACATCATGGAAGGGAAAAAAAGGTATTTTTGGTTGTGATGTACAAGGAAACCCCAAAAGTTTTTCACCCCCTTGAGCTCCAATGTGAATGTTTTGATAAGTCTTCTTTTCTAAAAAAATGACTTTGGGGGGGTGGAGAGCAATCTGTATTGGAAAAGAAGATTTCAGTCACTGTTGGTTCTATTTTGAGAACAGCATGTTGCTTTTAGAGTTGGTGTTTGAAGAGATCTTCACGTCACGTCCCAACACATTGTCCTGTGCAAGTCTGTGAGCAAACTGAAATGAGCAGTCAGGAGGGTGGCGTGTGTGTGCATACTGGGTATCGTCACAGATCACGGTGGTTTTAAAAGTGCATGTATCCTATCTTTTAAGCTGCTTCATTTGTATAAATACTTCTATCACTGACTTTTCCTTTCCATCTGCAATAAAAAAAACATTTTCCTTCCCAAAGCTGGTGTGGTTCTTTTGCCGTTTTTTAATCTGTTTCTGCAGGAAGCTGCACTATAGCTGCTGTCTGCAGGGTCTCTTTCCTGCAGCTGTCTTTCAGGACTCCAGCAGGTGTTAATCGAAATGCACCTCTGACACCTGTAGGAAGTGGTATCAGCCAAGGGTTAGGGGCTGGGGTTTTTCTCGATCTGTCTACTCAATTCCTCAATTAACCTAATTTTGCTTAAAGATTTTTCTTTGCACTGGCTAGGATGGGGGTGGATTGGTTGGCATGGCTGCCTCAGTGCTAGGGCCCTGGGTTCAGTTCCTGGGGTGCTAGGTGCATGAAGATTGCATACTATTCTGGGATTGGTGTGGGTTTCCTCCGGATGCTCCAACATCCAGGTAGCTTAACTGGCTTCTGGGAAAACTGGCCCTGAGGCAAAGCTGCTGTTTGGCTGTGTCTGGCCTGCCATGGACTGGTGTTCTGTCTAGGGTGTACCCTGCCCTCACCCATTGCTTGCTGGGAGATGCTATGTTTTCTCCCATCACCCTGCATTAGAAGAATCTTTTAGAAATGGGTGGTTGGATCCTTTACCCTTGATATCTCAAAGCATTCATTTAATTAATAATTAGAACAGTGTTTCCCCATCCTCCAATCCTGGGTATTATAATCCAGCTCTTTTCCCAAGAGTTATAACATTATTGATTTAGTAGCCTTGATTTGAACTGTTCGACTGTTTCCAGCTTTTAATGATGTTGGCTATGGTCTGACTTCTCGCTTCTGCATTTCACAAAATTCCAAACATTCAATGGCACAGAAAAAGTTCCATCAGGCAACATGCGAGTCCAATTGAGGCTTCAGGTAATTAGGATCAACTGAAATAAAAACCAATCTGTTTGTGTCAGGAATAGGACCCCTGAACGCAATGCACTTCAACACTGGGCTAGAAGTAGTACATTTAAAACAATTATAACAGAGTGCTCATGAGAAAATGAAGCAATTTCTATAGTTATCAAGACCCAGACAACTCTCCAACAAGTTACTTGCTTGTTCAGTTAAGTAATTAAGAGAGTAACTGAGGTTAAAACCAGCTGCCATTCTGCTCTACCTGAAAAAAAAAAGATGATTGTTAATTAACTTAATTTTCTTTCAAAGGGTAGATCTGTGGATAGTCACATGGTACTGGGCAATAGGTAAATGCCACACCCCAAGGTACCCCAGCAATGCTCCAGCCTGGATTTAAACCCAGAGTTCTGATACGATCTGAGCCCTGGGCCCTGATCCACAGCACCTCAGATTAAAGCATCTGCACAACACAGACTTCAGGCTCCTGCTCCACAAGCTCTTTCTTTATGATGCAGCAGGATGTTCACTACGAGCCACCTTCCAGCAAGAGTTTCACTTTGATAGACGTTTGGCCTAATTGAGCAGGCGGTCTTCCAGCCCCACAGGGGGCACAATTCTGATTTTCCCACTTATCTGTGCTTATTTCTTGTTTGGCTGGGTAAGATTTTCCACAAGAGGTGAATATACACTGACAACTTCTGCTTCCAGCAAGGAGCCAGCAGGTATCAGAACTAGACGGGATTGGGTCTCTCCAGGACCAGCTGGAGACCCCTGGAGTGACGAGGCAGGGGCTAACCAGGGCCAGGGCTGGAGACCCCTACTATAAAGTGGAGGCAGAATAACTCCAGTAACGCTGGTGCAGGAGAACCCCAGACCAGTCAGTCTGGGGAAGAGGGACCTAGGGTGCCAACAAGAAGGCCTCCAACAGTTTTTCCTCTTTCTCCCAAACAGGTAAGATCACGTGTATCCACTGGGCAACAGCAGGAAACCACAACGGATTGAACCGCCCTCAGGCCATCGGCTTCGATCGTCCCATCCCACTCAACAGACCCCGCCCGGCCTAGTGCACAGCCCCTTGCCCACGAGAAACAGATGACCGTACTAGCCCTGTGTTTGAAATCAGTCTGTGCCATTTATTTGAAATGAGGTCAGGAGCAGGTTAGCCCCTTGTAGCTTTTATTATTCGAACTCAGGGGCCCAGGCCAGCAGGAGTTATACTTCACCATTAAACCATCAGTGTCTGCAGCCGTGAAATCGTAGTAGGTTGTAGGTCCCGATAACCACAGCAGTCTGTTCCTGACCTAACTGAACTCATTACCTCATTCAAAAAGATTAAATCGCATCTGTAATCCCTGTCTGTAAAAATGGGTCACACAACGGCCATCCTAAAGGCCTCCTGGACTGTGGCTCAACAGCAGCAGGGCTGGTCACCCGTTTTAAAGAGAGGTAGCCTGTTCTTGACATAGGATCAATGTACTGTACATGGTTCCCAGGGCACAATTCCTTGTCCTGACCAGCAGGTGCCTCCATTGAGCTGTGTCATCTCAAGCCTCCTGCTGGTTCCCTCCGGAGTCTGCGAGAGAGAGGAGGCCGAGCATCTCTGCGTCTTCTGCGCGTGGCTTCAAAAACCGCACATGAAGACATCAGCCATCAAATCCCGGCAATCAATTTACTGCAGAGGACACCAGAATGAAGACTGATTCTCACACAAAAACCATCTAAAACTCTTATTATTGCTTGACAGAAATTTGTCTGGGGTGTAGAAAACAGACTAGAATCAAGGCACGAGGTAGAAAAGGAAAGGGGGAGGTCGGCCCTCGGGGTCTCCCTTTCAAGCCCGCGCGGACAGGATCCTCACGGGCCTGCGCCTCCCTTTCCAGCGTTGATCCCGCTATCCCAGGGTCTGCTCGGCGTTCACTGCTGTTGCAGGAGATCAAGCCATCAGTTCAGCGCCCGTGCGCCTCTGTTTGAACGGCGGAGGATAGGGAGACGTGGCGATGCCAGCCCGTCCGCTCGAGCCCGGTCGCCCCTCCGGGAGGTGCCCCGGAGACGGGGAGGCGGGGGGGAGGCGCAGGAGCGGGGGGCGTGCGTGGAGACGGCTCATCAGCTGAAGGCCCACCGCTGGCTGGGCTGGCTGGGGTCACACTGGCCCAGGCTGGGCTGGCTGTTCAGGAGGGTCAGGCACAGGCCAGAGGCGGGGTTTCTGATAAACTTGTCCTGCGGGGGGACACCCAGACGTCACTCACTCATCCAGAACGACACTGCGAAACTGCACTCCCCTTCACCTCTGACACCCCTTCCCCCCTGCACCCCTGCTCCGCACTCCTGCACCCCTGACTCCCCTGCACCCCTGACTCCCCTGCACCCCTGCTCTGCACCCCTTCTCCCCTGCACCCCTACTCTGCACTCCTGTCACCCCTGCTCCCCTGCGACCCTCACACCCCTGCACCCCTGCGACCCTCACACCCCTGCACCCCTGCACCCCTGCGACCCTCACACCCCTGCACCCCTGCACCCCTGCACCCCTGCTCCGCACCCCTGCACCCCCTCTTAACGCACTGGTCTAGTAATTATGGACACAGCCAGCGAAACCCTCTGTCTCACTGGTACAGTATCAATCAGCACTGTTAGAAAAGAGAGAGTCCCATTATAAACCCAGTCTGATCAGAACTGAGTAAGATCTCTACTCATCTTTCTGAGCTCTTAACATCGCTTACGAACCTTTGTAAAAATATTTTTTTTTACAAACTGGAGGGGGGGGCAGTGTGTCTGCAGGGTGTCCGGTCCTGGTCCTGGGGGGGGCAGTG